TGTTCTGAAAAATACCACTGTATACCGACTAAGAGTTGGCGGGAGCCCATCAGAATTTGTTTCTCCTTGTGCGACCGCAACAGACACTCGCTACATCGCACAACGGGTAATACGCACCCGGAACCATAGGCAGACAGTTGTAAGTCAACCTCCAACCCTCAAGGTTGCGTGAGATGAACGCTGGTCAAATGGGCACGCGTTTTTACCGAGTATGCAAGACACCTACTCAGTGTGCAGTCGATCAGTCACTTCCGGGTGAGATGGAACCCCGCCAAGATCAAGCCGTACTACCTAACCTAAATCATCCCGCGCGGTTTTATCGTAAGATGTGGTTCCGTTTATAACGTGGTACGTACATCATATAACGCATGAAGCATTACGCAATGTTTATTGTGTTACTATTTGCACTGAAGTCCAGTTTGGGCTGCCACAAAGCTGCGCATAGTTATCACGCCTATCTCAGGTTTTCACACAGGGTTTCAACAAATTGCATATATCCAACTTTGTAGACTGCGCTGATACTCTTGAGATGGAGCGGTTTAACAAGTCAACAGGCGATCCCATGGTGCTGAAATGTGGTCTTGAGAAAGCTGAAGTGTGGTCTCTCCCAATCGCAAAACGTTGAGCAAAGGAAGAATGGTTTATCAAATAAAAAGAGCACATGGCTAACGAGTTCCGTGGATCTAAAAAGTGAAACGAATAACAGTGGAACGACGACACTTCCAGAAAAATCACCGTGAAGTTCACAAGGGCACACTGTCTGCTTGTGTCATATCGCAAGCTACTAAACGCGCGCTAATCCATCTGACGGAGATGGAGCAGCGTATCATCAGTTCCTATCTAAACTACAGATAACCTTGGGGCAGGAACGTCGAAAGTCGGCAGTGTGATTTCATCCGATACCCTGGAAAGAAGAAAATGTTCCGATGGCATTCCAACTAGCTATATTGTGTCCAAATTTCCTTGGCGGCCTTGTAGGTTCATATCGCAATTAAGCTTCAACAGGTGATACTAAGTGTGGTCGAGGTCTTTGAAGAGCTGATAGATCAATGTAAGATCAATTCGAGGACGCTAATATAGCCAGCTGTAAAGCACCAGTGTTATAACCGAAGGTGCCTGCTTCCCCTTAATCACCTGTTCCCATAATTAGTGGCTCGCCATATTGGCCCCCGGGTCACCTGAAGAGAACAATCATCTGAGTCCGCGTACCCTCGTATATCCACCCAATCAGTGTAATAGTTGCGCAAGTGAGCCGAAGCAGCAAGAGATTTAGCACAATCCAGGAATAATAAATTAATATTCCACATCCCTGACGGAGCTATTTATCACGTTCTGGACACAGTAAAGCACGAACGAACACCGGGATCCGGGGCATCTGATACTTGAACATATACCAAATTCGTCTCGACAGCTTGCAACCCATCCAAAAAAACGATTAGCCGCCGACGCTTCATCGGTCGGCGTATACTCAATTGCTTCATCCATCCCATCCAACACACTTTGGTCTCCGAGAACCTCTCGTGGATTTACACAAATACCGAAGGTCTACTCAGCAAATTAGCCGCATTAAGATTTCGACAGTCGTCAGCAGCTTGGGACCTCATCGCTATCACAGAAACATGGTGGCGCTGTGCGATAACGGAATCCAAAATCGCACTAACAGGTATGTCTGTTGTCCGGAAGGATCGAGCCAGCAAAAGTAGTGGGGTAGCCCTCTACTTTCGTAACAATCTGCAGTGCGAACCCATACATGATTCGGAAACCGATGTACCCGACTCCATTTGGTGCAGCTTCCGGCTGAGAGGGAACGATCTTGGCCTAGTGGCTGTTGTTTACCGCCCACCATCGTCTACACCTGAGATGGACTGCAACTTGGTGGCTGCGTTGAGGCAGGTGATAAACAGCAAGTGCTATCACCTCCAAGTCGCCGGCGATTTCAATTTACATGCTCTAGAATCCCAGGCTACACCAGGAGAGCCATTCAAAGTAGACCTGCAAGATCTTGCTTCGGATTTTCCGCTTGACGGTCACATCACTCCGCCCACTAGACTGAGGGGATATAACAGGCCATCTATTTTGGACCGACTATTCACTAATGAAGAACTGGTGATCGAGAGAGTGATAACGGATACTCCTTTGGGCCGCAGTTATCATGGAAATTTGCATTTCATGTGCATTTGTCATGCTGAATACCCCGAGGACAGAACTCAAACGACTCGAATCATAATCAGTTACGACACCTTAACCCGGCTCGTTGAAGCGGCCGACTAGGTTTTCTAACCGACGATGCATCGGATATTGTCTGGGAAGGTTTCCTCACTAGGTTTAACATCTTGGTTAATGGGACATCGGATACCAAGCCTATCAGTTCGAGAAACGTGGCGTCGTTTATACGGAGTAGGATATGCAAATATATGGGGATGCGCAACTCGGCGTGTTATACCCACAAAACCGATCCGAGCCCGAGTACCTGGAAGGCATATGTTGTCCACCGTAACCACTATACCCAATTAGTGAGCGAGGACAAAGTAGCTTATCAACGTGATTTAGTCGAACGATTGACTTCAAATCCTAAGCTTCTGTACAAGCAGGTGAACAGCCTCGGCAAGGTGAAAAGTGGATTTCCCCGTCTTCAAGCAGCGGATGGTCTTAATCGAACTACTAAAGAAGCGTCGAATGTTCTGCAACAACAATATGCACCAACGTTTCATTGCATTCCACGGTCTCCTGAAGCTTTGGAATCTATGGCGCTTCCACCATGACTCACTCACATAAATTTTACGACAAACATCGTGAGGAGAAAGCTGCTGTGAATGCACCTGCATGCCTGTCCAGGAATTGACGCCCAACGACACTTGTTGTGACGGCTCTTGTTTTGGCTGAACCCTTAGCGCGGCTGTTCTAGCACTTCCTTGACAAGCCTCACGTACCTGCAATGAGGAAACACGGGACAATAACTTCCATTTACAAAGGGGCAGTCGTTTCGACCCAGCTAATTATCGAGCAGTGACTCTACTGCCAGTTCTTTCAAAAGGTATGGAGTCTATCATTGCCGATGCACTCATGTCTTATCTGGACGGCTTTGGTTTCATTACTCAGCAGCAACACGGTTTCCACCAGAATCGGTCGTGCACCACCAACGTATCGTTATCACGAGACAGCTGGATCGAAATGGTGGATGCTGTTGCAGGAGTTGATGTGGCTAACCTTAATGTCTCTAAGCCATTAGACCGGTTGAACCATCGTATCCTTATCGCCAAACGTCAAAGATGTAGCATTAGGGACCCTTTCCTCTGGTGGATCTGTAAGTTTATCTCGCACAGGCGTCTGGAGGTGAGGGTACGTTAATCCATGTGAGACCCAATTCACGTGGAATGCGGTGTGCCACAGGGTTCGGTACTGAGGCCCCGTCTATTCTTGGACTTCATACACGACCTAGTGCAGCAAATTAATTTAAACTGTCGACCCTACGTTGATGACATCAAAATTTGGCGAGTGATCAAAGCTCCAGTAGACAGTATCCAGCTTCAAATCGACCTTGAGGAGTTTTATGGATGGTCGGTCCAAAAGCGTCTTTTATTCAATGTGGCTAAATGTCAAGTGCTCCATTTAGACACTCAGTGGTTCACACATATAGATGGGGACCCGGATCTGCAACACTGTGCTTTCGGAAAGGTTCTCGGGGTGTGGGTCCAGGAAGACCTCGGCTGATTTGAACAGTCCAAACAAGCATGGAATTAGGGTTCCAACTCATGGGGTCTTTACGGAGAGTTTTCGGGCAATTCGAACCCACTAATTTCCGCCAAATACTTCCCGCTTACATACACCCTCATGTCGAATAAGCAACCTAGGCACGGCACCCATGGCTAAAGCGGAATGTCACGACCTGGGCGATTCCGATTCGTCGGGCGACCAAAAATGTCAAGCGGCTGATCCACTACTCGTACGAACAGCGCCCCAGAGTACTTGGCATTTTCAGCGGACGTTATTTCCGTTTGCGTGGTGACCTACTCATGGCTTACCAAATATTAAATAACATTAATCACCCGTGCCATCATCCGTTGAAGCTAAGTCAGGACAACCAACTGAGAGGTCATCATCTCAAATTGACAGAACGATACAGTCGGTTGGAGTGTCGAAGAAACTTACTCTTGCTGCGTGTTTGAGTCATGTGGAATACCCTCTCAAAAGCTGTTATTTCAGCCCCCACGTGAGCCGTGTACAAAGCACGTGTCGACAGGTTACTGGCCATACTACACCATATCACGTATTCCAAATAACCCATACAAAGAGCTGAAAAACAAAAGCAAACTAACGCACCTCCATTGGTGCCCGGAAAACACAGACGATAATCTTGGATAATCAACAGAGAACTGCTCAGGAGGGAAAGCTGTAGCCGGAAACTTCGCAATTTGAGGTTGTTCGATATTTTGTTCAAAGCTAACCGATCAGCCGGCGGGACATGTCAAGCTTTGGCTTTTTCTCTGCAATATACCATTGACCATTGAGTTCAACCAATCCGGATGTAACAAGTGGTTCCCCCTATAATTCCAAACAGGAAAATCAATAGACGTAGATTGTGAGATGCCGTCGCCATTTCGTGCATTCTTATCAATCACAACAAACATGCAAATGAACAACCAACGATATCAAAGAGATCATATATACCTCCGAATTTGCGCTACCCCATTCTTCTGTTTGGAAACCGATTGTAATTAAACGGACACTGGTCTAGACAGTTTGTAACTTACTTCAAATACAGTTACTCAACTACTTTGATTCGAGTAAGGATTAGTCTAGCCCTAATATGTACGACCCTAAAGATTGTTGCGAAAGGAGACAGAATATTCACATCTCAGGATGCATAAAGCACTTTTTTGAATTGAGTTGAGGCGAATTAGCGCCTGACATTTTTGTTTACACCTCGTTGCGGAATTTATCACCCAACGAGCGCATGTCATGTGTAGATGGGCTGTTCCGGATAAAGCCTTACGTAAGCGTTAACCATTCGTAGTAAGATGATGTAGTCGAAAAGGTGTTGTTACTTGTCGTGTACATTCAAACTCATCTTGCACCATAACTCCGATATGGCCTTGAAAATCTCGCCGTAGAGCTGGTCCCCGAGAAGCCACATCCCGGTGCTCTAGTGGTATGTGGCCAGCATTGCACTTGATCATTACAGGAGAGCTTATCAGTATCGGCTCTGGGGACAGCTTCTGCATCTCTGGTTTCATGAGAGCGATCGCCATGTGGTCGATTTCGGTCACCAGTGATAAGCCATTCCAAAACTGCACATCACCAGCAAAAAAGGCAGAGGGCGACTTCAGTTCTATTCCAAGAAGCAGCATGAAAAAGGGGAACTGGATGCAGGAGTTCATCTCGCCTAGCGGCAAAACACGAGTAGAGATATTAGATCAAGCTTCGGAGTAGCTGAAATGGGCGTCCCAGGAGGTTTCACGGATGTCTCTATACTTAAATGCCACAGGATCTGGGTGAGTGACGCTCGGCAATCGAATAGGTAGTGAATAATCATAGCCAGGCTCACTCGTTGATCTTAGGGAATTGGGTGAAGGGACCAAAGCCATAAGCATAATTATTCGGTACAACCTCGCACGAACACAAGTGGTACGGAGCTGATTAATCGAGCAGGTTATGGTAATTTCTGATACTGTAGTTGGTGGGAATTAAGAATTAGACGGATGCCCAAAACCCAGACGGGTACATGTAAAACCAGCCATTAAGAGCCGAGTGGAGGTCATGTAATAATTCGGTGCATGATGCGCCAAATTTCTGCTGTGTCATGAACGGATCTGACGGAACGAACTGATAACTCAAACGGGAACAGGTAAACTATGGGCCACACTAAGGGTTTAACACAATAATAGTGACGAGAATAATAAGGTGTATTCTCGATTAGAAAAGACAAGCCCCCTTCGGAATGCTGGCAGTTTAACAATAAGCTTTGGAGTTCGTGTACCACAGTTTGTGTAGGAAAGTGTAATTGGGTTTTTCGGAAACTATATGGAAGCGAAAAGTTCCAAAAGACCCGCTGTGATTTTGTCGCCATTCTAGTCGAAACATGTTGCAACCATGACGCGAAATTTGCTGTAACCCGAGCGGTTCAGTATAAATGCGGTACAGAAAAAGGAAAGCTGCTTTTATCCATACTCCTGCGGCGCGTTGACAAGCGGTTTCACGTATGATGGCAAGTTCCTGTGGATGCTGCTCAATCCAACTTGTAAGCCTCGGGATGTCAGGCAAAGGAAAATATATTTTGTACGCAAGGTAAACGTATAAACGTCACGGATAGGACTACAACAAGAAGGATCACAGAAGGAAGTGACGACTATGACTGTATCACGCAGCTTCCTGGAAGACATACGTGGAAATGCTCAGCATCGTGCAGATGACTGGGGTCTTGAGTGATCTGGCCCGTTTTGCAACTTATGAATGCTCGCTGTCCAACTAAGCAAGTTCGCACATCTCTTGGCTTCGTGTAACTGGCTTATAACTGTCCAGCGCGAGATCGAGCATATGGACTCATTGCGTGCTCGAAGGTGTCTGAATAGTGGATCGCTCCGCTTGTACCAGCAACTAATCGGCGCCCTTTAAACCGAAAGCACGGGCCAATAGAACGGATCGCATGCACGCTACCAACGGCCTCCCCGATGTCACAAATTCCATAGACCGATACATCGGCCTGGAACCATGGACAGTTTCGGTGTCATGCTGCGATGAATTGTAACCCCCAATCGTGTATTGATACCACCGCTATCAGGATGGTGGCAGGTGGTTCTTTATCAATATGTATGTCTTAGACCTCCTGCCGATATGCACTTGCAGCAACTGCTTGTCCTGTGGAACGTTGGACAATTATCACCTCGTCGTTAAACCACATAGTGTGCAGCTTTGAGCTTTAATAGACTGCATTGTCGTACTGCGCGGTGCACTCAGGGTGCAGCTGATATACACCGATAGTCGCATAACAAGAATGTTGAACTAACACCTTGTTTCTATACAAATGAGTGGGAAGCGGAGTCGAAAGGTACCTGGTGGTCACCGCATGAGGCTTGGTAACACGTCATCCACGAAATATTGATCCGCCAGTAGAATGCCAGAAGACAGTGTTTCCGCATGAAAGCACCGGACCGCAATCACCAGGTTGCGAGAACGAAAGCGGTAGCCAACACGTATTCCCACTCTCATCTGGCTATGCGCAGAAGTCCTTAGCATACGATATGATACGAAATAACTCACTTGTGCGATTGAGGAATTTTTCAGCAATTGGACTGGATACATCTTTGCGAGTAGTGGCCTACCACACAGAGTGGGAGCACATTTTGAGACAGAACATCTATGACACTAGCTGGATTTCAGTCAGTTTCATACACGTGGGTGGAGTTCTGCTTCCAACGACTGTGGCCAGGAAGTTTTTAACCTACATAAGAAAGGCCTTCAAATCTGCTGATGTTTCGGATTCCTGCCGAGGTTCAATACCTGGCGTACAGGCATAGGTGGTGCCTAGGTCAACGCCACATCCAAGTCAGGTCCTGTAGGCTAAGATAAGCTGTACACCCAGCTTTGCGAGTACAGCCACATCGGTTTTGTTAGGTTGGTATTATCTTATTTGAATTAAGTGATCAGAATGTAAATTCAGTGCATAACACACGCCACATATGACAGAGACGTACCGACGAGCTTAAGCCCATGACGGCCATTCCGACTCAATTATTCAGGGTGAGTTGCTTCAAGTCAATGGCCATTTGACAGTGAAGAGTTCGAGAACGCCAGGACAGATCCATTAATCAACAACAGCAATACATCAGCCATTTGAACTGATGTTTCGCTGCCATACAACCATGATGAGCTATGAAACAAAGAATAATAAGAGGGAGAGAAGGGGGACTGACCTAAAAATCTTAGGGCCCTAAGCAAATATTCAGCGTCAAGGAGCATACACTTTGTGTAGACAACATAGGGTCACAACCACCTGGCTATCACGCAAAGATAAGGCGGCATCGGCGAGACAGCTTCTTTCCAGCTTTCACTGACCCGCGTCATAATCAGCCATTACCCAGCAGATAACTCAGCACCAAACACACCTTAAAAAGGCAATGGGACTAGGAGACGGCAGCAGACACGCCACTGGTGTCCGTTGTGAGCCATGTCCTGTAAAGTCTCGAGCCAATCACAAGACGAGTCACGTGGACTCCAGCACGGAAGGCAGGACGGACAAACTGCACACAGTTTGGTCGTCAGTGACTTCATTTCCCGCATCCAAGTCAACTTCTGTCCACCTCGAGCCTTGCGCCACTCTACACCTGGCAGACTAAACAAGACCCTCCTAGGTAAGCGGTGACCAGGCATGCGTAGCACGTGCCCGAGCCAACGCAACTTAGTCAGTGCTATCTGTTGTTCTAGTGAGCTAGCATGATTATCACCACCTAGTACTAGCCCTCGCACATCATCGTTGCGGACACGCTGGTACCATCCGACACCAGCAATGCTTTGCAGACAACAATGATCAAAGACTTGAAGGTGCCTCAGATCTTCAGACCGCAGGAGCAAAGTCTCACTACCATACAGCAGAACAGCACTCACTGTGACCTTGTATACATGGCATTTCAGACGGAGGGAAACTCCCTTCTGTCTCCAAAGATGTCACACGTTCAAGAAGGTAGCTCTGGCATTTGCAATGCGTGAGCTGACCTCAGTTTCCACGTGCCCATTTTGCTGACGCAACTGCCAAGATAAGTGAAATGATCAACTACCTCGAGTTCCTCGTTATTAAGGGGCAAGGGGTCCTAAAGTGGCTGATGGTCCTGCAGCAACACTTTACAATTTGTAGGTGCAAAGTGCATACCAAATAATGGGACCAATCTAGACAGGCTATTCAGAGTTGAATGTGCCGCCGCAACATCGTCGAAAACCGAGACGATATCGTCCGCATAATCAAGATCAACTAATCGTTCATCAGACAGCACTTCAAAGCCTACATCTTGAGATTCCTCAAGAAAACACACCACGATAGAATCCACGAAGAAATTGAAAAAATGGGGAAATCGGGCAACGCTAATGAACGCCACTTGTGGTCGGAAAGCAAACCGACACGTCACCGTACATCCTGACGCGGCATGTGGTGTTCGAGTATAGAGCACGAAGGATGTTCACATATTTCGTGGAAACACCTTTCCGCGCAAGTATTTCGAACCGAATGCATCGATCGACTGAATCGAACCCACTATTGAAAGCAAGGAACACAGTAATTGTCGGTCTGCGGTATGCGTGGCGCTGCTCTAGCACCTGCTGCAGGGTGAATATATGGTCTATACAGCGATGTGCTGGGCGGAAAGCTGCCTGCTCTTCCCTAATCCGAGATTCCTGTTCCACAGTGAGGCGACGAACGAGTACCGATGCCAGTAATTTTGTCATAACTGGCGTTAGGCTAATACCCCAGTGGTTAGCACAGTCGCTGGGACTGTCCTTCTTGTATATTGCCACTATAATCGATTCAATCCAGTTAGCCGGGACAGTCTCTTCCTTCCAGATATGTTTGAATAGGGGGGATCAGTGCTTTGCAGAGGACCTCACATCCATCCTTAAATAGTGCAGGTGGGATGGAATCCGGGCCAGCAGCACGAAAATGATTGAGGGCTGTGATCGCATTTCGGATCTCGGCCTCCTACGGAGGCTTCAAACTAACCGTCCATGGCTCGTCCTGCATCACCTGAGTAGGAAGAGGTCCGGGAGCAGGGGGCTTGCTGAACTGATCTTGAAAGTGTTCTGCCCAACGAGCCATACGGCGCTCCTTATTGTGTATCAGTGCACCCGCGCTGTCCCTGATTGTCTCACTGACGCCTGGTTTCCTGGGACCAGTGGTGCGGATTAGCTGGAAGAGCTTCCGGTAATTGCCTACTGCTCCTGCCTCCTCCATTTCTTGAGCCCGACTGGTCCACCAGGCTTCCTTGTCAGCACGTAGGCTCCGCTTTAGTTCACGCCTAATAGCCCGTCTGGTCACATTGTGTTCAGAACCAGCCGGGAGGTGCCTTCTAGCTTCCAAAAGGTTCACGGACCTCTCGGATATCCAGTGACTGGTGCGATGACGACTGATAGTGCCACAAGCAGATGCTCCTGCGTCGTGCATAGCGGCCGAGATCCTATTCCACTGAAGTTCAGTGTCATTAGGACAAGACAGCGAGAGTTCGCTATGCAGTGCTTCTTGATAGGCTTGCCTGACAGAGGGCTGGGACAATTTCTCCGTTGCCAATCGGGGGAGACGCTTTGTGCGCCTTCCGGTAAAGTTCATGGAGAAACGACAGCGCACCAAGGCATGGTCAGAGTCGACACA